AAATCAGGAACAATCTCCTAGGGTATAGGCTGAAGATGATGTTCACACCAGTACTCCCCTTAAAGATAGGACGTGGAAGTAGCAAAGCCACAAAAATGTATTTCCAAGTGGATGACTGTACATACATAATTACTATTACTACTACCCTGCACTTACATAGAAACATTCATCCACGGATCTCAAAGCATTATAAAAAGAATATTAAGTATATTATTCCTATTTTCATATTGGAGAATTTAGGCATGGAGAGGTTAAGTGATTTGTCAAGGTCATAGCAGCAAGTCACTTGCAGAGTCAGGAAGAGAAAATTGACCTCATATCTACCGTAACTACTAGACCAATATGACGTTTTCTCAGGGCATCCAGAACTGTGACCTTGTTAGTTCTCTGCCTTAGTAAAAGAGAGTTTTGCTGGTACTAAACTAATAATTCCCTGTCAGCCTAGTCGGTTAGCCTGTCAGACAAACTCTTTGGGACATTAACAGCCCTTACTTTGCCTTACAAGTAACACTTGGTGCACCCCAGTTCCTGAACCTTGTCAAAGAGCCTTCCACTGCAGTATTCAGCCCCCATCAGTGGACGCTCTCAGAAATCACCAAATCTGCTGTCTCCAAAGGACAGTACACATACCAGCCTGTTAGCTTAGCTGAGGATTCACACTTTACTTTAATATTACAGAACTGAGATGAATTTATAGTAAAACCAAGAATAAGTTTTTTAAAAGTGAATAAAGATTTAAGCGATACTAACCAAAGAGAACAGAAACAGCAAATTGTTACAAATAAAATGAAAGTATAACTTGCTTTCTAGTGACTAAAACTTAACTTAACCAGCTACAGTCTTGTCTAAGGTGGTTTTTCACCTAAAGCCACAGCTCAAAGTCACTAGCCCACATGGCTGGGGATCCACCAATCATGTATACGGAAGGCTCTTACTACTTTGTTAACTCAGTTATGGATAACCCAGAAGTTCGGTCCCCTTCTTTTTATAATCCAGAAAACCTTTAATGGCTTTTCCTGTTGACTTAGCATGCAAACAAAGCTTGCTTTGTGTTGGCTTTTATCATGCTCAATTTACCCCAGAAACATAGACAGACAGGTAAACCAACATTCCTTTGCCTAAGAAAAACCTTGTCTATCGACCCTGCCTGGTATGTTTGGTTTAAACATATTCTCAGTATACACATACAACTTTTTAATTGTTACCCATACATACATCGCACAATGATTATGATGAGCAGTATGATATAAGCTTTCAACTGATACCTTACACAATATTATTTACAGATACATACCATAAGAGCAACATATTAGGTGTAGTGAGTTTGTCAGGCCTGACAGAAGCTGCTGTTTGTCACGTTCTGAGATGCAATTCAGACCAGTGAGAGGTTGTGTCACTGCTTGTTTTATAACCTTGAGTTCTCCAAGATGCTTCTGCTACTTGTGGCTCCCTGTTCTGATTCAATCACTTTGAATCCAAAAACCTGCCAGCAGTTATCAGAGACATACTTTTATCTTTACCAGACCTGTTAACATAAGCAAATGACCCCAAAACGCCCCCAGTCCCGACCTTACCAAACCTCTGTGCTCTGTAGTGTCCAGCCCACCCCTATAACATTCAGAGGAGTAATAAGATCCGTTTTCTCCTTTAAAGGGACAAACCCCACCAGCTTGCCACATTAGCTGGAGTTAACATTCACTTTAATTCAAATTTATTTGAAGTGGCTTAGTTTAATAGTAAATCAAGTTTATTAACAAAAGAAGACAGGCTTTTAAGTGAGTTCAGGTATGAGAGATGAAGTTAGAAATGATTACAAGCAAATAAAAGTGAAAACACACGCCTAAAGTCTAAACCTTAATTTACTAAGGTACAGGCTTTGTTCAAGATGGCTTTTCTCATCCACAGTCTTCCAGCAAGATGGTGGCTGACCCCCACCTTGGTGAGGTTCTCTTTCAGATGCCCAGAAGTGCTGTACCTTTTGTCTTCTTAGGTGGAAGAGATAACTTGGGGTTTTCTGAGTATTTTTTTTATACTCATGAACCTTTGAAATTCATTCTTATGAGGGTTAAACCTCAAAGTAAAGTTTATACAAGCTGTAAGGAAGGTGACATGGATTCTCATGGTAAAGTAAGCTCCGTGCTGTTTCCCATCCCTCCGCTTATGTTTGCTAAAAGGCAAATTGTTCCTTTTCCTGAAATCTCCTCTCCCTGCTGTCTTGATGGTCCTGTTTTCTGCGTATATGTAAATTGAGGTAAACCCACATTCCTTTGTTTAGGAAAGACTTGTTCACAAACTCCCCATGACATGCCTTTAAGCACATTTTAGTTATAAGTTTTAGTTTAAGCACATTTTAGTTATAATTTCAACATATAGCCATAACTCTTAATACACAATGCATACATACATTAACAAGAATATTAATGATCAATGAGTTATTAATTTTCAAGTGATATCTCACGAGGCATATTTGATACAAAGATTATAACAATATCGTGTAGGGTGTGAATACTGGGGTCTCTGGGTCACACTGTTATATGACAGTGAACCCTTTCCCAGGAGGCACTTCCAGTAGGGCCTCTCAGGGTCACAAGCATGCTGCCTCCAGTCTGCATAAAATGGAACCATGTAAAAAATTATGCAACAATGAAATATTCACAAGTTTTTAGCAATCTAGTACTTGGAGACTGTATTTGGGGATGCTGGAGGGGTGTGTGTGTACTGGGAGGGGGCATTTGGGAGGTGCTGGAGGGGGCTGCGTGGACCCCTCCAACCCAGTCACCCACACCCCCTTCCCCCCCAGAGCCCAGCTGCAGGGCCAGACACTCACACCCCCTCCCCTGACAGCCCAGCCACGGGGCTTGCTTCGCCTCTCCCCCCCAAAGCCCAGCCGCAGGCTTTGTTCTGTACAGCTTCATTACTGTCTTGCCAGGCAGAGACGACCCGTATCTGCTGTTGGGGTGGGGGGCGCATAATGTAAAGGTTCAGCTGCCCCTGGAACAGCTCGAGTCACGCCCCCTCCTCTGCAGATGCTCCCCTTACTCTCAGTCTCTCTCTTCCCAGAAAGCAGCGGTGCCTTGCTCTTGCTTCTCCCCACGGGATCCCAGCTGCACCATGTCACCGAGCAGGACCGGCAAACCTGGGAACTGCAGCTCACCCACACCCTAGCAGCAGCCAGCGGCTCTTCAGCACCAATTCTGTGGGGAAAAAATGAAACTCTGTGCAGAACATTAATTTTGTGCAAATCCTGCATTGCACAGTGGTGCAGAATTCCCCCAAGAGGTAGGTTTAACATATACAGAAATGCAAGCATACTTTTGTATATGCACTTTTTAATATGTACACTTTAATCCTTCTGCCTTAGTACTTTCATCTGTAAAAAAGGAATAGAACAATTTACTTTAATGTTGAGTTGTAAAGATTAATATTTGTAAAGCACTTCGAAGTTAGAATATGCTGTATAGTTGGTTAAGCATTATTATTGACTATTTTCCCCAAACAGCCAAGAAAGACCTGTAGCTGGAATAGTTAGAGAACTATTTCCTGGAGTCTGTAGCAGAAAATGGCCTACGGATTGTCAGTCGGTGATAGTTTGGAATTTTCAAATGTAACTTGAATCTCTGAAGGAATCACAAAAAGAACAATCTTTCCACTCTTTTTCCAGGAATTTCCTTAAGAGCTTGATCAGTATTTAGAGCTCTAAACTACACATTCACTGGGCCTGGCTTTACATAATAGAGATACTCGGAGGCAAAGAAAGCAACAGTCATTATAATTATAATATGTTGGCACTTACCTAGCATACTCTATACAAGAATCCCAAAACACTTTGCAAACATCGTGAGAGTTGCTTCATATGAAGGAGAACAAGCAGATTTGAGAGATTTCAATTGTTTTATAGTCTCCTTTTCTAGCTTCATTTTGAGAATGACACTACTATAAGGTCCAGGTTAAGGAGGTACCTGCAGTAACTATATGATATAGGATATGGCCCTCATGCCAATGGCTGCTGATTTAAGCCTTCCTTTCAAAAGGAATTTTCTACTTTTGTCACAAGTTCTTAAGCGGTCCAGCTCTATAACTAAGTGTGTGTGGGGGGGGGGGGGGGGGGGGGGGGGGGGGTGGGTGGTGGTGGTGGTTTTTAAGATGATAGCTGTGACAGAATGTCAGGAAGTTGGTATAAATGAGTGCTGATGAGAAATTTTCTAACTTGTAGTTGAAACCCAATATAATTTATGGAAGCTCAATTAACTGACCCGTTGTTCTCCAAAGTAGCCATTCCAAGACCACTATGTTTTCAAGGGAAACAAGAATCATTATCTGTGATGACTTTAACATAGAGAAATCTCATTTAGCAGAAGATGAGTATGTCCAAGATTGTGTCAACAAACTATCATAAGGTCATCTCAATCAGCCCCATTGTACAATCTACAGTATATAGAACACAAATCAGTCTTCAGGAAAAGAGGAAGAAATCCCTTGAATGATAATAAATTAGAATCAGTCCTCATGACATAAACCTGAGCTTTAACACTCCCTCTTCTGAAAATTTCACTGTAGTTTTTTTTTTTTTTTTTTAAATACCTTTGGAAAGAATCATCAGAGAAAGAGGAAGATGTTCTTGTGTGTGGAATTTTGTGTTTACCCTCTTGGTCTGTAACAGGAAATATTTTAATGCAGTTCTTTCCTGAAAATTCTTTCACAACAACCATTTCAGTTATATATTAACCTAGATTTTAGTGAGGAGGCTTTTGTGAATCTATAGATTCCAAGCATTTTCAGTGATATTTGAAAGGAGATGTGCTTTATAAACTCCTTAGCAGGATAACTCTGAAGGGAGGATGAGGTCTTCTTGGAAAAGGCCCTGCCTCTGAGGAGGGGATTCTTAGTATAGAGAGAAAGTCTCTGGTGCTACAGCCATTCCCTCATTCTTCAGTGCAGTGTGCACAAACAGAGCCTGCAAAATGGCTTTGTAGACCATCTGATATTGAGGTCACTTTTCCCCTTATTACTCACCTTTCTTCTCTCCAGATCTGCCATTTTGTGGTCCACTTAAATCACATATCAGAGGGGTAGCCGTGTTAGTCTGGATCTGTAAAAAGCAACACAGAGTCCTGTGGCACCTATAGACTAACAGATGTATTGGAGCATAAGCTTTCGCATGCGTCTGACAAAGTGGGTATTCACCCACGAAAGCTTATGCTCCAGTACATCTGTTAGACTATAAGGTGTCACAGGACTCTTTGTTGCTTTTTAAATCACATAGTGATTCATAGATTTTAAGATTTAAGAGAGTATTGTGATAATCTAGTCTGACTTCCTACATGAGACCGGCATCAAATCCAAAACTCCTGGCTGAGCTAGCGCACACCTTTTAGAGAATTCAAGTGATAGAGAATCGCCCCCCACCCCCTCACCCCCAAATCGCTACATAATTTGTTCCAATGGTTATATACGCTCTGTAAAATATTTGCACCTTATTTCAAGTTTGAATTTGTCTAGCTTCACTTCCTGTCATTTGATCTTGTTATGCTTTTGCTATATTAAAGAACTCTCTACTATCAGAAATCTTTTCCCAGTGTAGGTATCTACAGACTATAATCAAGTCACCTCTTAACCTCCTCACTGTCGAGCTAAATCTATTGAGTTTCGTTAGTGTCTCACTGTGAGGTAGGTTTTCAAACCTTCAATCATTCTTGTAGCTCTTACTGTATTTGAATTTCCAAATGTAGTGCAACCACTCTTCTGAAAATAGTTTTGGGGGGAGGAAATAAGAATGGTGATTAATCTAATTTAGGGACTATTTTGAGAGTCAATAACAATAATAGATTTTAAAATGAAAACCTAACTAAATAAGCAATATTTTTAAATAAATTTATATATAGATATAAAAATTGACACAAAAGTATAAAAATAATTTAGTAAGCAACTAAAGACTCAATAAGCTTAGCTATAATAAAAAAAATTACAAAAAAAGTTAATATATAGCAATTCACTACCAAGGCTCTTACATTAATTATCTGGTCAGCTTTCAGCAGTTTAGGATCCAAATAAGCAATATTTTCATTAGCTTCTGATCACTCAGACCATCTGCGCGGGATTGTAGAATCCTTAGTTTTACCTGCAATGAGAATAATACATATAAAATCAAGGCTTTAAAAGTTATCTTGAGATCCATTCCAAAATACCAATATTTACCACAGGTCATAATCCACATTTTCCTTACCCCATCAAGCTCTATTGGCCAATTTTCTACATATTTTTACACTTCTAATTTTTCTAAGCACTCAACAAATGCACATGGTAACACAATATTTATCAAAATAAAACAGAAATCAAACTTTTGAAAGAGTAGCCCCAAGCAACTGCTAAAAAACAGAAAGAAGATTTCTTACTTTTATTAGAAGTTTAGACTGAACTAGAGGCTGAAGGTTCTATAGTGTATTAGTAACCCAGTTTCCTTCAGGATATAGCTTTTGGAAACTGACCAAGACAAATTTTAACTCCTGTACAATTCAAAGACTGTTTGCCAAGCAACCATCTTTTCCTCATACAAAATCCTTTCTTAAACTAATTTCTGCCACAAAGCCTAGAAGAGGTGAATAAAATTAATACATTCGTTTACTAATTGAATCATAACTCACTGTGTCACCACATCATATAATTTATATGACCCAGTCCAAATCTATCCTATTTCCCCCTTTAGTTTGCTCTCACTATCATTCATTCAAACTCTGGATTGCAAACTCTTTAGGGTAGGATCCTTGTCCCTTTTGCAAGGTTCCCACACACCTTTGATTAGTTGCCATATAATTATATTATACCATTCGTTCAAAAGCATCTGGTGGTCCGGATTTGGCCCCCAGTCTGCCTATTGTCTACTCTGATATACATCCTCAGTACAGAAAGTAAACTGAAGGATATCAAAGCTACTGGAGCTTTAAAGTTTACTGTGGACCAGTTACATTTCTACTGAAGATAAGTACACCTCTACCCCGATATAACGCGACCCGATATAACATGAATTCGGATATAACGTGGTCAAGCAGCACTCCGGGGGGGCGGGGCTGCGCACTCCGGCGGATCAAAGCAAGTTCGATATAACGCGGTTTCACCTATAAACGCAGTAAGATTTTTTTGGCTCCCGAGGACAGCGTTATATCGGGGTAGAGGTGTAGTTCGCAACGAACTTGGAGCCTACCACTGGTTTGCATTTGTTTATTCATTTACACCTCGTAAAGAGCAATCATTCTGATTTGGTAGAGTTTTGAATTCACCTACTACAGATATAAAGGACTACATAACTAATTACTGGTAGGCCCCTAATGGCTACCATAATGGAAATGAAAGAGAGGTTTAATATTTGTACAGTTAAGTCATCCTCTACAGAGAAAAGGTGCAAGGAAATCTAACTCATACAAAGGCATCATTTGGTACTTGGCTTTTGCAGGATCAGTTGGAATATCCCTCTTTTTTCCCCAAGTAAAGAACTATTCCTATAGTATAGATGCTAATGTTATTTCCCAAGTACTGTAATAATCAACAAAAGCTTGTATAATAAAGAGAACAGTAAAGGCAAGTTCTAGGTTCTGCACGTTATCCAAATTAATTAACTAGATGAAAAACAAACTTCCCTCCAAGAACCTGACTAATCATTGAATTCAAATGTTACTAATTATTTGTGGGGGATGGAAGTACCATAAGGATAGAAAAACAAGGAATGAGATTAGTTGCTGAAGTCAGGTCAAAACCAGGGTTTAGTCGCTCATGCTATCAATAAGTTTTATTTTGAGAGCCTGCCTGGCAGTCAGAAATGAAAAAGTAATATGTTAGCACATATTATATCAATTATATGTAATAAAACTGCATAATACCAACTAGAATTAGTAATGTTTTGTTTGTTTCAATACAAATTCAGCGAGAACACAGTGTAAGGGGAGAATGTTTTTCTTTAGCCAATTTCATATGGAAACAGCAACATGTATAAATGTAATGCTATATGCAGTGCAAAAAAAAAAAAAATACATTCTCTACCATTATGTTGCATTTACTTAAACACATGTCAGAAAAGACATGGTTTCCAAGAAATATGAAGTCTGATTGATTACAACATTCAAATTAATGCAGTGTGATAATATGAATAGAAAACTGGATAAAAGAAACATACTAGCTCCATTTATGTTATTGTGCACTGATTCACACACTCTGATACCCAGGACTATGCCCCAACTAAAAACAAGCAAACAAAAAATTATTCTTCTATTGATTCCTCCCACCCTAGAACAGATGAAGACAGAACTGATTTACTTCCGTTGCTCCACAGCAGATCCTCAGCAGCAACTGCAGTGAACTGTCATTATTCTGGTAAATTTCACTCTGATGCTTCCCTTCCACAGAAGGGGCAGAAAAATTAAACAAAGGTCACATCATTTCTACTTAGCTGCTGCTGGCTTCATATTTCCTTACTAGTAGCAAGCGGGAGAATAATTGTCAAACTTGGTCAAATTTTCATATTCACAGTACAGTATAACCTCAGAGTTATGAACTCCAGAGTTACAAACTGACTGGTCAACCACACACCTCATTTGGAACCGGAAGTACTCAATCAAGCAGCAGCAGAGACCAAAATAAAATAATAATAATAATCATAATTTTAAAAAAGGAAATACAGTACAGTACTGTGTTAAATATAAACTACTAAAAAAAAATGAAGAGAAAGTTTAAAAAAGATTAGACAAGGTAAGGAAACTGTTTCTGTGCTTCTTTCATTTAAACTACTAAAAAAAAGGAAGAGAAAGTTTAAAAAAAGATTTGACAAGGTAAGGAAACTGTTTCTGTGCTTCTTTCATTTAAATTAGGATAGTTAAAAGCAGCATTTTGCTTCTGCAGAGTAAAGTTTCAAAGCTGTATAAATCAATGTTCAGCTGTAAACTTTTGAAAGAACAACCATAACGTTTCGTTCAGAGTTGCAAACATTTCCATTCCCAAAGTGTTCATAAGTCTCAGGGTGTACTGTAAATACACTTTATTACTTACCCAAAATAGGAACACTTTGGTCAGTATGTTGGGGTTAAAGCCTCTAAAAAACATAGATAAAATTCAACCATGTAATAAGCTTGCAGTTACTATTTACTTTAATAGGAATTACATCTGTTTAGTCCAGGATTGAATGTGATCCGGTAGGGTCCAGGACAGGAGGATAATGTTTCTTGCTGAAAATAAAGAATGGATAAATTATAGCAGCTGCTGACCTACCCATTTATAATCTCATTTAATCTCTAGGAACTCTCAACATAAATATCTTATACTATTTTATGTTTCTCCTCATCTTTTGACCTTGCCACTAGCTATTAATAAAAAATTGACTCTAGTCTCCCTAAATCAGACCCATTCTATCATCTTCTGAAACACACAGCTTCCTCAGTCCATGTTCTTTCTCTCCAGAATCCATATTTACTAACCCTGTGCCTCACGATCCATCTGTGGACAGCTCAGCCCTATCTTTTGTTTGCCAACTGGTCAATGTTCAACGCTACAAACTCATACATCCTCCCTGACTACCCACACTGCTTTGTAAATTAATCGTTTCTGTGATCTCAAATCCCATCTGTAATTGTCTGGAGAGTGGCAAGTGATCTCCAAGGTATGGAAATAAAATATGTGTCAAGTCAACTCTATGTCTATAAAAACAGTCTCCAGGGTATAAAAGCCTATTTCTTTTGGAAATTATAATAGAAGTCACTGGGTAGCAATTAGTATCTCTTATATTAAGCTGTCCATGCTGCCTAGTATTTGGTCAAAAATATTTTAAAAAATGGTTACTAACTTCCATAACTGTTGTTCTTTGAGATGTGTTGCACATGTCCATTCCACTGTAGGTGTGTGTGTATGTGCCCTGAGCACAGCTGCTGAAAAATTTTCCCTCAGTGGTACCAGTTGGGGCAGCTTGAGTGCTCTCTGGTGCACCGCGCTCATAGCACCGGTATAAAGTTCCCAGCCGACTCCACACCTCCTTTCCAGAAACTCCAATGTCGAGGGCAGGAGGGTGGGTTATGATGCAACATATCATGAAGAAAAACAGTTATGGAAGGTTAGTTACCATTTTTTCTTCTTCGAGTGATTGCACATATGCATTCCACTCTAAGTAACTCCCAACAGTTGATTAGGTGGAGGGATTGGAGTTCATGGTCACACTGATTGCAGGACAGCTAACCAAATTTCCAATCATCTCTGGACTGCTGAGTGATGGCATAGTGGGAGGAGAATGTGCGCACCGATGACCAGGTTGCTGCTTTACAAATATTCTGAATCTGCACTAGGTATGCTGCTGAAGAATCTTGCAAGTTTGTGGAATGAGCAGTCAGGATAGCCGAAGGCAGAACACCCACTTGACTGTAACAAGTACAAATGCATGAAGTGATCCAGGACAAAATTGTCTGTGAAGATTGGGAGACTCTTCATCCTGCCTGCTACCACTACGAACAAGTTGGATGGACTTTCGGAATGGTTTAGTACTTTCTATGTAGAAAACTACGGCTCATCTAACGCCCAGTGAGTGAAGGCACTGTTTCTTCCTATTTGCATGTGGCTTCGGGTAAAAGACAGGAAGGTAGATTGCTTGATTGCTATGAAATTGCGAAACCACTTTTGGGAGGAAACTGTGGTGAGGATGTAACTGCACCTTATTTTTAAAGGGGTGTACAGAGGCTCTAGATGTGAGGTCACGGAGCTCCGAGACCCTTCTGGCCAAATTGATGGCCACATAGGCCTTGGCTACACTACAGAGTTTTGTCAACGCAAGTTATGCTGACATACAGCCACCACTATAATTAAACGGCTGTTGGATGTCCACACTATGCTCCTTGTGTTGGTGGAGCGCATCCACAATAGCAGCTCTTGCATCGACAGAGAGCAGTGCACTGTGGGTAGCTATCCTACTGTGCAACTGGACACAGGGTGCTTTGGGAAGGGTTTGCAATGCCTCATGGAGCAGGTACAGCGTCACATGATGAGGGTTTCTCAATTCCATCATTCCATGGGCATCCTACTAGATTGCCAGCTGCTTTTCAAGTGCCCTGGTAACCTGCAAACCAGCCATCTCTGTCAGAAAACATGGTTCCTGCATTGCTGTTCAGTATTGTGCTGTGCATTATGAACACAAGGCTATAAAAGGAGCCCATTGGGGGGCTATTCGGCTGGGGAATGCCTTGATGGAGCATATTAACAATGAGCCACAATAATGTGTGTTGCTGTAGTGTGCTGAGCCTGGCATTGTTTGCTTGCACTGTGCTATGAACCTTGTAATGATTGTTGTGTGTGCCCAAAAAGTAACAAATTTGAAATCACTTTTAAAAGTAGCACTCGGTAATATGACCAAACTGACATGGCTGAACACTAACACAAGAAGCCCACAAAACTGTGTACGTGTGTATGGGGGGGGGAGGAGTGCGTGACAGGGAGTGTATGTGTGTGTTGGGGGGGAGTGTGTATGTGTGAGAGAGAGACAGCGTGTTGGGGAAGTGTGTGTGTTGGGGGCGAGTGACTGTGTTGGCACACTGTCTCTTTAAGTTCAGACAGCAGCTGGAAGCAACCAATCCTGAGGCAGAAGCTGGTGTACAGACAGTTAGTGTCCCCGTTCCCCCACCCCAGCTCAATGGAGACTGGTACACCAGCAGTAGAAGGGGACATCCGACATCAGCCCCTGCCTCACTCTCTGGCTCTGCACAGCAAAGCAGTCTCTCTCCGCCCCAGGAGCACTTCGTCCTGCCTGCCTGCCGCTGCGGTCCTAGTGCTGAGGAGAACGGGATTCCGCATTAATGTTTTGATTCCGTGATTCCCTCAAGTTCTCCCACAGCATCTTTTCCCCACAGACCAAGAGACCCAACCCCTCCCCTGTAGTCCAGGCAGGAGTTTGTTTGCTGCCAAGAGCCAGCATGCTCAGCTGGTTAGTAGCTATGTGAGTTCTCCACGCTGAGCAGTTTCAAAATTTGAAAGGGGAGCTTTGAGAGGAGAGGGGCGCATGCTTGTGTAGCTGGATGCAAAGCAGCAGAGTTCAAAACAGTGAGCAGAGCGGTCATGGTGGGCATTGTGCGATACCTCCTGCAGGCCAGTTACGCTGACGTAACAGATGCAGCGTTTACACTGATGCTGTGTCAATCTAACTTTGCTGTAAAAAGCTCTATGCCTCTCATCAAGTCAGCAAAGCAGGAGAGTTTTGTCGATGGGAGGGGCATCATAGTGTGTACACCTCCACTGTTTTGTCGAGAAAAGCTGCCTTTTGCCGACAAAACTGTGTAGTGTAGACATGGCCTAAGAAAACCACTTTTCAGGACAGATACAATAAGAAGCACATTGCCAATGGTTTAAATGGAGGGCCCATGAGCTTTAATAAGACCAAGTTCAGGTGCCAGGGAGGAACTGGCTCTCTTACTTGAGGGCAAAGCCTTTCTAGGCCCTTCAGGAATCGAACAGTCATGTTATGTGGAAACAAGGACCGGTTATCCAACCAGGAGTGGAAGGCTGATCTTGCTGCAAGGTGAATCTTGATAGAGGAGATAGCTAAGCCTTGCAGCTTCAGGTGCAATAGATACTTGAGAATTTCTTGTAAGGATGACCGCGTGGGCGAGACACTGTGTTGGGATGCCCAGACAGAAAACCACTTCCATTTTGAAAGGTAAGTAGCCCTGGTGGAGGCTTCCTATTACCTAGTAGGACCTGACAAACCTACTCCGAGCAAGCCTGCTCTCTGGGATTTAGTCATGAAGCTTCCAGCCTGTTAGGGAGGGGAGCTCAGGTTCACATGGAGCAGCGAACCGTGATCCTTAGAGATCAGGTCTGGGTGTAATGGAAGTGGGATTGGGGTCACTACTGAGAAGCATTGCAGAGTGGCGAACCAGTGTGACAGGGCCATGCTAGGGCTATCAGAATGACCCAGTCTTGGTCCCACTTGATTTTTAACAGTACTCCATGCAAGAGCGGGATGGGAGGGAAAGCGTAGTAAAGGTGTTTTGTCCATGGTAGCAGAAAGACATCCATGATAGCCCCCAGACTGTGGCCATGTAGGGAGCAGAATTGATGACACGTTCTATTGTACTGGATTGCAAATTGGTCTGTCTGGGGAATCCGCCACTTCTTGAAAACGCCCCTCACCACATCTGGACAAAGGGACCACTTGTGGTAACTGGAAAAAGTCCTGCTGAGGCAATCTGCCAGCTCATTTTGCGCCTGCGACTAGAGCCATTGTCAAGTGAGGGCATATAAAAGGAACACCTGCACAAACAGTGAGAGGATCCAACCACCAATTGAGGGAGACAAGGACCCTATGGAGATACTGTGAGTGTAGTGTCCAGATGGTGGCGGTTTGGGGAGTACACTGAGGCCAACCACATCTGGAGGGACCTGAGGTGTAACCTGGCACATTGTACCACATAAGTGCATGAAGCCATGTGCCCTAAAAGCCTCATGTAATTTTGGGTTGTTGTGATGGGATGACCTTTGAGGTGTGTTATCAGGAATGTGATTGACTGGAAACTTCCCTCTGGGAGGTAGGTCCTGACCTGAGTAGAGTCGAACACCACGCCAATAAACTCTATCCTCTGCACCAGAGTGAGGGTAGATTTCTCCCCATTTATAAGAAGGCCTAGGGCCTTGAACGGTGACTGGATGAGTTGAACGCTGGATGCTACCTGAGCCCTGGACCGGCCCTTGATTAGTCAGTCATCCAGATAAGGGTAGACCTGCATCCCTAACATCCTCAGGAAGACTGACACTACTGGCATACATTTTGTAAACACCCATGGAGCTGCAGACAGGCTGAACGGGAGGACCATGAATTGGCAATGCGAGTGGTTCATTACAGATCTGAGGAACCTTCTGTGATCTTGGTACATCTATATATGAACAAATGTGTGTCTTAAATCGAGGGTAGTGTACCAGTCCTCGGGATCCAGGGAGGGGATAATGGATGCCAGGGTGACCATGTGGAACTTTATTTTCTGTTAAGTTTGCGCAGGTCTAGAATCAGTGAGGGACCTCCCTTGGCTTTTGGGATTGGAAATAATGGGAGTAGAGCCCCTTCCCCCTTAAATTCTATGGAACCTCTTCCACAACTCCCACCCAAAGGAGAGATTGAACTTCTTGGACCAGAAGTTCTTCATGAGAGGGGTCCCTGGAGAAGGATGGGGACGGAGGGGAGGAAGGAGGAGGG